CCTCTCCCGTTCGGCAAGATGGAGATGGACACCTGGAGTTTTCTCCGGGTGTCGCTTCTTGACCGAGCTCGGGCCGTGACCGAGGAGCTCCGTGCCTGACGAGTGCGGCGCCGGGCCGGGCCGAAAGCCGACCCAGTCGTGCGACCCCCTAGAAGCGAGTGAGGCGTGAAACTCTTGCTGGCTTGTCAGTGGGAGGGAAGCGTGTGTTTCTCGGAAGGAGAAAAGTCCGTGCTGGAGAATGGGCGCAGGGCAAGGTCTGTCTCCTGGAGAGAGGGGTGGGATGAGAGGTGCTGAGCTCTGGTCCTCTGTCTCGCTGTTTTCTGGCGCATGGGAGGCAGAGGATGCACTGCTGCGGTTTCTGCAGCACTGTCCTGCAGCTGACTCTCCTCCCTCCTGCCTGTTTTGTGTTTCTGAGAGGGGAGAGGCCCAGGTGCGGCGTTTCAGCAGAGCCTGAATAATAAAAGTAATTTGATTCTTGACTGAGCTCTGGCGATGACCGAGGATCTCTGTGTCTCTGTGCTCCGACGAGTGTGGCGTTTATTTTGAATGATAAAAGCAGCGTTTCTAGTTGTGGCATTGGCTGGGTGTAACAGCAGCTCCTTCCCGACTGCTGAGGAACCTCTGTGTTTTTAGACCTTCTGTATCTGTTTTCTTTTCCTGGGGTCTATTGTGAAGTGCTCATGCAATATTTACCTAAAGGCTTTCTGCTTAAATGCTTCCAGTTATATCCTGAAATGCTGACACCTCTCAGTAAAGCCTGAATCTGGTCTCGCTGTTCTAGAGATATTTTACCAGCTGTGAATCAGACCTCAAAGCCATGTGGTTTAATTGGTAAGTGGAAGAAAATTACAAGCACATCTTGCCGCTTCGAAATGTCAGGATCAAGGCTACTGGAGACATTTCAGGCGCAGAGGGGAGTTTCCGAATGAGCCCGTGAGTTTTCAGGCCTGCGGCTGTGTGCTTGTGTGTCCGTCCTGCAGAGTGCCCGGAGGAGGAGTACGACCCGCGGTCGCTGTACGAACGGCTGCAGGAGCAGAAGGAAAAGAAGCAGGAGGAGTACGAGGAGCAGTTCAAATTCAGTAAGCGGCCTCTGTGCTGAATGTCATGCCAGCACTGCTGACAGACACAGCCCAAGAAATAACCTGTGTGTTATCCAGTTCACAAACACAAATTTACCAATTAATTGGTCAACCAGAAATTTTAGATGTGCAGCTCTCCAGTCAGTCATGAAGTAGGCATCTGGCGTCATTTCCATTTCCAGTGCATGCTTTGTTCATGCATCGCCTCTCTCTTACCCCATGGGAAACATTGTCATTAAAGCCTCATTTGAATGAATGGGTTTGCAATGAATGTGTTAGCGGAACCTGCTTGTCTTCTTTCTCCACGGGGTGCTTTCAAAGCCCCAGGGGCGTAGTAGCACCCCTGCTGGATGCTTGTCTGCTCTACAGATGAATGGGTG